GCTATGATGCACACTGACCACTGAGGGACAGATGCTCAACTCAGGAGCTGCCAAGCTGCAGTGACTTGGCAGTGGCAGTTTTTGGGTGATGCACCCTGAAACCAGAGAGGAGGGAACTCTATTCCTCACAGGGCCACGTGATTCTACCTTTGGCTGTGGGCTATGCTGTTGCTGGGGCACTGTCAGCCTGAATCTGGTTTACTGCACACTTGCATTTGCATTCCACACCCTGTATGATGTCAGAGAGCCGATTTTGGCCTGATTCTCGCAGGCCAGGCGGAGGGACCCCACCTGCCGGAGGGATCCCGCTCACTCTGCAGACGCCCTTCGAGCCATGGCACTACCACAGGTGCGGCCGGCCGGGGAGGGACCATGGAAGGATGGCTCCAGGGTGTGTCCGGGCCATCTCTCCCAGTCCCACCCTGCCAGCCACCTTCTAATTAATTTCCTTTCAACATGCACGAATATGTGCACATGGTCACTAGTAAAAACATAATAAGCTGAAACCAAATTCCAAATTAAATAGTATGAGACAATTAAATAAAAGCACATTAAAACTTTCATTCTGATCTAAGGTGATCTTGATAGAGATGATCATAAGTTCTATTTGTTTTATGCCAATAAGTATAAGTTCAATGGATTTATTAAAAATATAATAGTGAAAATAATATTTATACAACTAATATGAGCTTTTATCAAGTGTTTACTCTGAATGTGTAAGGAAATATTTTAAAGGCTTTATATATAAAATTCAATAATCCTTATAATAACCCTCTGAGAGAGAGGCAGATACTATTATTATCCCAGTCTAATTTACTAGAGGAACAAATTGAGGGACAGAAGGTTTATGTAAGATATCCAAGCTCACTACATTTGCAAGTGATGGAGTCAATATCTGAACCCATTCAATAAGGTACCACAGCCCTCTTAACTACTATGTCCTGCCTTTCACTTGAATAGGTTATAGTTAGGGCATAGAATTTTTAAACCCCTGGAAGAAGAAAATAATTGATCCACCAAAAATTAAGAAAGAAAAATAGAAGCTGGAATGCATACAAATAAAAAATGTAAAATAATACAGCATGAGTAAAGACCAAATATATTAGAATCTTTATATAATGACACGGAAAGATGAAATATATTGTTGGATGAAAAGAAAAGGAGGCAGAACAGCAAAGTATCTTATAATTTGACTTATGTTAATACACATGCATTTATAGTCTACACATGTATCTGGCTAGAAAAAAGTCTGTTTACAGTTGTTCAAGAATAGGTGAATTAACACACAACTTTCACTTTATCTGCAATATTTCAATTTTTACAATAATCATATATCAACTGAAAAAATACATCTACTTTCTTTAAATAAGAAGTGTAGATGGCATCATAAGCACCTATCTTTTCTCAGATGTGACTGAGGAGTAGAGATTAAACATTTGTTAAATGACTATATGGATATCTCTAAGATTAAATTACTACCTGGCACCATCAAGATAAGTGAAGAAAGAAAATAATATTTGGGATGTTCTTTCTGACCTAGTATTTTTCAGTGCTTACTTAAACACCCATGTTTATTTCTCTGTACCACATGTAGGCTGAAACAAATGCTGTACTGAGCATCAGATGTGTTTTCGATCTGGCAACAAGTTACATAAATACCGTACTGTATCAAATCTATGATGCCATCATTCTTAAGATGCATTTTTATTTTATGAAAAAACAAGAAACAAAAAACCTACCTTCAAACTATGGCACAGCATCAAAATATTTGGTTTCAAAGAAGTTAAAACTTGTGCATTTTTTAATTGATGAAATATGGCAATTTCTCATTATCAGAAAGTCTAATAGCTACCATTAAATTGAGTTCTTACTACGTACCAAGTACCATATAAGTGCTTTTCCATGTATTGTCCAATTCATTCATTTTTAAAAAATATATTTTTATTGATTTCAGAGATGAAGTGAGAGAAAGAGAGAGAGACAGAAACATCAATGATGAAAGAGAATCATTGGCTGCCTCTTACACACCCCACACTGGGGATCGAACCAGCAACTCGGGCATGTGCCCTGACCTGGAATTAAACTGTGACCTCCTGGTTCATAGGTCAACACTCAACCACTGAGCTATGCTGGCTGGGCTCCAATTCATTCTTCATAGAAACCCCATGAGATAGATGCTGTCATCATTTTCATTTTACAGACAAAGAAACGAGGCAATAGAGAGGTTTAAAAATCTGACTGTAATCAAACAACTAATAAGTGGAGAGGTCAGGAATTGAACAAGGTAGTCTTTACTGCCTTGGAGAGAGTTTACTAGTCCCTTTAGAAGAGGAAAAATGGTCCTTGGTACTAAATTTTAAAAGAAATCTATGAAGCCCGGGCCAGTTTGGCCCAGTGGGTAGAGTGTCAGCTTGCGGACTGAAGGGGCCCGGGTTCAATTCCTGTCAAGAGCATAAATTGAAGTTGCAGGCTCAGCATAAACTGAAGTTGCAGGCTCAATCCCCAGCCCCAGACAGGGTACATGCAGGAAGCAACCAATCGATTTGTCTGTGTCTCTCTCACATCGATGTTTCTCTCTCTCCGTCTCTCCCCATCCCTTTCACTCTCTCTAAAAATCAATGGAAAAATATCCTTGGGTGAAGATTAACAAAACAAACAAACAAAAAGAAATCTATCAAAGACAATACAAATGTTTCCAGATGAAGTTCTATGTTGTGCTGTAGGCAATAAAGAGCCACTGGAAGGTTTTTCCAGGGACCTAATCTAATCTGAGAACAGATCTTGGGATATCTGAAAAAGAGTATACTAACATCCCTTAGCTAATCTTTCCTAAATATCATTTTACTTATTAACTTTGGTGAGATCTCTGAATGTCTTTGAAAGGATCGTACTACCCCTTTGGGCTAGCTGCACATCTTACCCTCGAGTAGTTCGTGCCGTTACTATAAGTTGCAAGGCTTTGGCCTGCAGCCTCATATGATGTATAATCACCACCTGCTTATTCTCCACACCACTGTACATGAACTCCATTTTGTAGGTCTCTTCCATGATCTGTAAAGAAAAGGTAATTAATGATCAGTGAAAATATCAAGTCTTGCACTAGCTGGTTTGGCTCCATGGATAGAGCATCAGCCTGCAGACTGAAGGGTTCCAGTTCGATTCAGATCAAGGGCATGTACCTTGTTTGCAAGCTCCTCCTTGGCTCGGGCCCTGGTAGGAGCTTGTGCAGGAGGCAACCAATCGATGTGTTTCTCTCACATCGATGTTTCTCTCTGTCTTTCCCTCTCTCTTCCACTCTCTCTAAAAATCAATGGAAAATTATCCTTGAGTGAGGATTCACACACACACACACACACACACACACACACACAAATCAAGTCTTCCTTGAGAACAGCATAGAATTGTAGGTGAAACTCTAAACTGAGGTTTTTTTTTATGCCTATATTTTAATTCTGAACTGACATTTTTAAGTGCCTATGTTGAGATAAATTAACATAATTGGAAAGAAATTAATGTGTTGAGAGAACTGTATAGCATGTCTTGCAAAAGAGAAAATAAAATATTTTGTCAATTGAAAAACAAAAGGCTCTGTTCTGGTAATAAAATCATCTTAATTGATGAGGTGATAATATGAAAGTTTAATAACAGATAAAATTATAAAGCACTATTTGTTACCCTAAACCTAAACTCACTGTGCTGTGGGGAAAAATGAATATATGCTGTATATAAAAACCAAATTCCCAAGAAAAGCCCTCAAGAATTTAGCATCAAGAACCATGAACCACCTGTTAGTCATCCAGACAAACTGTCCTACAGGCATGGAGTTTGGGATAAGTGCCGAAAACAACATCTACGACCTCAGCTCAGGCCCAGTGCATCTTAAATTCTTGCTCCATTCTAGCCAAATCAGCTACTCCCACCCAAATGATGCTTCTCTTCCCCTTTGAAGGCTTTGAGGTCAGAGAAATGACTCCAGGCTCGCCTATGACTAAAAGGAAGACAAGATGTTTAATTATATGGTACCTTAGTTACCCTATCTGTACATAGGGAAGAAATAGGACCAACATTAGAAAATGTAAAGGATTAAATGGGGCATGGAAAGACCTTAACACAGTATCTGGTACATAGATTTGTAATTCCTTTCCCCTCTTTCTTCCAGATTCCTGCTCCCTGGTCCCCTCGTTCCCAACATGGTCCATTCTGGCACTCCAGTCATTAAGTTCTACTCCCCTACAATAAGCTGCATAGCAAGTTTGAGAGGGAGTCTAGATAAGATGGGAAATTAAACAGAGTAGTGGAAAGAAAACAGACTCTGGGTGTCAGAGGGTCTGGGCTCAAGTCCCAGACTATATTACCTATAGTTCTATGAATTTAACCTTGCTATAAAATGAGCTTAATACTTATTCCTGCCTAATGGAATTATTGTGAGGTTTAATTAAAATAAACTTGAAATTGTTTAGTGAATTGTAATGTAGCTTTCTAATTGGTCACAATCACTCAGTTATGTACAGTTCACTATCCAGAAGAGTTCACTAAATCCCAATACCTAATAATGAAGGGAAATTGCTCAAAGCTAGAAAGAAATAAACTCAAAGCAAATAAAATGAAATGCTACTTAATGAACTGAGGAGAAACATAAGAACCTTTTCACATTCAAGAGATGGTACAGGCTAAAAATATAAATAACCTGAAAATGAGTTCATCTTCATTTTCAGATAAAAGACTCATGATAGTTTTTATTGGATTTTAGTATATCTGAAATACTAACTTATGATATTTTAGAACACAAAAGAATCTTAGAAATATCTCATAGAATGGCCATATTTTACAGAGGAGAAAAAAACCAGGGGGGTTAAGTAACCTGGTCAATATCACCCAGAAAATTAGAGGCATACCTGGGTCTAGAACCCAGGTCCCTTGACTCTAAAACCAGTGCTGTGACCCCTAATTATGCTGCTTCTCCTATCACTAACTTCTGTCATTACAGGCTGAGACTGCAGAGACCACATCAGATCTGTGGGGCCAAGATGAAGTGTGAAAGCCTCTGGCTCTAACTTGAATGAGATAATTCCTGGACAGAGATCTATGGAGGAGAAGGTCTTAATTGCTTACCTGTTTTGCTGCTGCTGAGGCCAAATCGCTCTGCTTCAAATACAAAGGGGCGGCCACATTCCACAGCTTTTCCTGTAAGGCCTACACACAAATCAGGAGAGGAGAGAAGACAGAACACAGAGATCACAAAGACTGGCATATCATTTGAGACTGCCATGTTTATTTTGCTTTGAAAATCTATCATAATCAGGACTTCCTCTCAGTCTTGTTTTTCTTTTTTGTATTGATTTCTGAGGGGAAGGGAGAAAGGGAGAGAGAGATAGAAACATCAATGATGAAAGAGAATCATTGATCGGCTGCCTCTTGCCCCCTACTGGGGATCGACCCTGCAACCTGGGCATGTGCCCTGACTGGGAATCGAATCCTGACTTCCTGGTTCATAGGTCGACATTCAACCACTGAGCCACACTGGCCAGGCATTCCTCTCAGTCTTATTCCTTTAAGCCAATCAGCCCCACTTATGGACAGAGAGGAAACCAAAGGTTTGAGCTAACTGAATTCCTCCCTATTCAATCCAATTCCTAGCCCAAAGGCCATATGTCCTGGCCCAGTGCTTGCAAGCAGAGTACAGGAGCCATGAAGGTCTCACCAGAATGTCTAGGCAAGCCAGCTTCCGAGGCTCTGGGCCCTTCTTGTTCCCAGAGCCAATGTTCCCTGACTGCCTAAACCCTTCTTGTTTGACTGTGGTTCTTTTTTCTTTGCCCCACGGTCACTATTCTTTGAACAGCCCCATCACCTTACCGGCATAGCTTTCCTAGTTTACACCCTCTCTCAAGATTTCTATTCAAAACTAACATGTAAAGCCACAGATTTCACCTTCTATCTCTCTCCTCTTCTATCCATCCATATGGCCCACCTCTCACCTCTTGTCTAACCTCTGCTATAGTCTCTAATTTCCACAGTCCTTCTTAATTACAGACACAATCCAATGACATTACAAAAAACTTAGACTAACACTGTCTAATGGAAACACATAACAAACCATGTAGGTAATTTTACAATTTTTAGTAGTCACATTTTTAAAAGTAAAAAGAAATAGGTAAAATTAATTTTAAAAATATAGTTTAGTTAATGCAGTATATCCAAGATAACACCATTTCACTATGCCATCAATCTTTTAAAAATTACTGAGATAGCTTACATGCTTTTTTCACACAAAGTCTAAGAAATCCAGAGTGAATTTTGCACTTACAGCACGTCTCAATTTGAACAAGCAACATTTCAAGTGCTCGAGAGTCACATGTACCTGGTGACCATCATATTAGATAGGTCTAGTAGACCATCGATATAGAAATCTTTAAATCACCCAACCCATACTATCTTATCAGAGGTATTGCTTTTGAATATTTGCTTCCAATCATTTCTCAAATGCATATTTTTATATAGTTGTAGTCAGAAAGCTGAAATAATTTTGTATCTTTTTTTGGTACATAACATTACGTATTTGTGATGTTGTTATATAATTCTTCATGATGATCATTACTGACTACAGAATATACTGGGGAGTAGATGTGCCACAGCTGAGTTAGCTCATCCCCGATTACCAAACACCTGCCTGCTCTGGTTCTAAGTCTGGGTCCCTTACTTCCCCTGCCACTCCATGACATTGAATAAACAACATAGTTCTGTGTTCTTTTTAGGAGTAAACTCTTCTCATTTCTTACTATAGAAAAGTAGATTCTTTTCAAAGGCCTTCTTGTATTCCCGTGGAGAAGATAACAAGCCACAGAAAGAGGAAAATGACCAACAATGACAAGGCACTCTCTACACACTAGACCCTAGGCCAGCCGTGGGCAAACTACGGCCCGCGGGCCGGATCCGGCCCGTTTGAAATGAATAAAACTAAAAAAAAAAAAAAGACCGTACCCTTTTATGTAATGATGTTTACTTTGAATTTATATTAGTTCACACAAACACTCCATCCATGCTTTTGTTCCGGCCCTCCGGTCCAGTTTAAGAACCCATTGTGGCCCTCGAGTCAAAAAGTTTGCCCACCCCTGCCCTAGGCCAAGAGCACTCACACTTATTGCTGGTTACCAGTCCTTACCTGGGTCGAGTTATTATTAGCCCTGTTTCACAGAAGCTTGGAAAAGCTATCAATTTTGCAAAGGGGCATAAGGAACGTTTTTGGACAATGGAAATGTGCTATATATTGACTGTGGTAGTGGTTATGCAAGCATATATGATTGAAAGAATCTATCTTGCTCAACAAGGGCTGTTTAAATCCCAACCCACTCCTG